AATATAAATGATCATAAAACAGATTCACTCTGTATTCTGCTTTGGTAACTTGTTAATTGGACTGAATTTCTTTTTTAAAAAGGAATGATGAGGAGAAAATTCCAGTCATCTGAGATTTCTGGTTAATTGGGGCTTTGCAGTACATTACAAGCTCAAAATAGAAACGCTGCCTATTCATGTTTGTAACTATAGCTATTAATGCTCAAGAGGATCAGGCCAGACACCAGGAAACTTGAATTTGAGGAATATTCTGGAGATGTCGTTAAACATGAACTTTGGTGTGTCTGCATCATCCTCCCTGGGTCCCAGGTCCTGTTCTGTACTGCAAAATTAGTAGATTGTCAGATCTCATGACCTGCAATGTGTTCCTGCTGTATCTCAAGGAAAATCTTACACAGCCTCGTAACTGAAAGTGTAGGAAGATGTTCACTGATGGAACCCTTATTTGTAGTGGCAAAGCATTGAACCCAGTCTGAGAACCATCCTTGGGAGAGTAGGTGACTTCACATTGCAGACCTCGATGCGGCAATTAAAACAATTGGTTTAGATGCGCACACAGCAACATAGCTCAAAACTGCGGTGCCAATGGAATAAGAATGAGATCGATGATACAGTGTCACTTATGTAAATTAAAAACACATTCACCTAAACCAATCATACCTGTTCTACAAAAGCATATTTTGTAGAACAAACGGAAGAAACGGATGCATTTTCCAGTGATTTCTTACTGGGGAATGAGACTGAGGAAAGGGGATTAGAAGGAAATCTGTAACTAAATAAAAAGGAGCTCTGCAGTAATGATAATGAGCTGAAGAATAACCTGCATTTAACTCTGCGTGTGAATGAGGGAGAGGGAAAGAACTAGAGACAAAGGAGAAACAGAGAAAGGAGATGAGATTTCAAAACACCGGTAGGTTCTGAAATTATTTTCTGAGTACAGAGTACTTTCTGCTGTCCTTGGAGTGGCTAATGAAAACAAAGAGAACTCCCTTCACTCTCTCCCCAGGTGCTTTGCCCTTGCTGTGCCCTCTGCGTGTCTCCTGAATATGTGTGTGTAACATCCCTCATTTCATTCAGGTTTCTGCTCAAATGATGTCTCTAAACACTGTCTGTAAAAGGGCGCCCCAGAACTTTCATTCCAGAACTCGGAACATTTATTTAAAAAAAAAAAAAAAAGAAAGGCCATGCCACAAAGAACAGGTAGGAAAATGTAGCATAGCTCGCGATTTGGGAGCGAGAAAAAGCATCAACTGTCAGGAGTGGGATTCGAACCCACGCCTCCAGGGGAGACTGCGACCTGAACGCAGCGCCTTAGACCGCTCGGCCATCCTGACCAGCTCGTCGCCGTGTTCGCTCAGAGCTTACTTCTCTCTGCACCTGAACGCTGCTAGTTCCCCGCCCACCCCGCCCGGCTTGTTTCTCTTTTTCTCAGGATAGGGGCATTTCCATGTTAAAACCTAAGCCGCCGCTCCGCGAACGGCCTCGGACGGCGACCTGGGGTTGACGCGCTGCACAGGACCGGGTTGCCGCGGCCACAGAGCAGCGTCTCCCCTGTGAACCCCGAGTCGCTCCCAGGTGAAACCCCGTTTCTACTAAATTGCGCAGTTTTCCCAAAAGAAAAGTAGTGCAGGGTGAAGGGTCAGAAAGTAGAAAAGCGGGATTGGGATTGGGGTGCTCTTTGACAGACGGTGATGAGAGACATCATTCGAGCAGAAACCTGAATAATGAAATGAGGGGTGTTACACACACATATTCAGGGGACACGCAGAGGGCACAGCAAGGGCAAAGAACCGGGGGAGCAGCAAAAGCCTTTTGTGTCTGGAGAGCAAGTATAAGAGAATGAAAGACACGAGATTGCAGAAATAGCCAAGGCCAGATAGTGTTAGTAGGGCCTGCATTTAATCCTGACTGCATTGGGAAGTCATTGGAGAATTTTAATAACACAATCTGATTTGTCTTTATTTATTATTTATTTTTTATGTTTTCGGCAGGTGAGTTGTTAACTGCTTAGCGGATTCCAGCTTCCATGGCCACCGTCCTGCTTGACTTGTCTTTCAAAACAATACTCTGGGCAGGGTGTGGTGGCTCACACCTGTAATCCCAGCACGCTGGACACTTTGGAAGCCCTAGAAGGGCAGATCACTTGAGCTCAGGGGTTTGAGACCATCCTGAGCAACATAGGAAGACCCTGTCTCCGGAAAAAAAAAAATAGCCACCTGTGGTCCCAGATACTCAGGACGCTGAGGTGGGAGTCTAGAGCCCAGGAGGTGGAGGCGGAGGTTGCAGTGAGACAAGATCCCACCACTGCACTCCAGCCTGGGCGACAGAGCGAGCCTCTATTTCTTTTTCTTTCTTTCTTTTTTTGAGACAGTGTCTCATTCTGTCACCAGACTGGAGTGCAGTGGTGCAATCCTATAAGCTGAGCTAAATTTTGTATTTTTAGTAGAGACAGGGTTTCATCATGTTGGCCAGGCTGGTCTCCATCTCTTGACCTCGTTATCCACCCGCCTCGGTCTCCCAAAGTGTTGGGATTACAGGCCTGACGGTGAGACTCTATTTCAAAACAAAACACCACAACAAAACAAAACAATACTCTGGTCATTGTGGGTAGCTGACCATAGAGGCAAGGATTGAAGAAGATGCTATATCGAAAATCCAGGTAAGAAATGATGATGGCTCAGTCAGTGGTAAAGCAGGAAAGAAGTGCTCACATAGCTATCCAAGAGCTCCTTTAAGTATTTTTAAAAGAAGTTTGAACTGCATTTTCTTTTTTAGTTTCTTAAAGTACAATTTGGATACAAATAAACAGTTTAGAAGCAGGGATAAATAATATTCCCCTCCCAGGAGCAGAATGTGGGATGAGCAGTGTGGACTAGGTAGTGTTTGAGGAGGGGTCAAGGAGAGGAGGACACTGGGTACAGGGGATCCATTAAATGATGGAGGAAGAAGTTATTTTTGGCTGCTTCTCCAGGTGCAATCCCTTGGTTCAGTAGAAGGTGGCACGCTAAATTGCTTTTTTCTTCTCCTGTCTTTCCCTATGCCTAAAAGTCTCTTGAGCCAATGGATTCTACGTTGGTGATAACTCTAAAGAGTTTTCTGAAGCTCCAGCCCCCTAGATTAACTTAATCTCTCCTCCTACCCAATTGCGATTTTGCTCAGTAAATGACATCTTGAACACCTATGGCAAGGACACTTGCCCTTGGATACTTACTTGCCCAGATTCCATGTGCCTTTAACCAAGTCACATTACGTATCTTGACTTCAGTTTCCTCATCTCTGAAAGGAGGGGACAGGAGTAAATGTCAAAAGTCACCCTAAAGTTTCATTACGTTTTTCTTTCAGCTCCTTCCCAGAGTAAAACCGCTATGATCTCCTGATTTACAAGCCTGTATGTAGGCTTATTTTTTTTATTTTGTGACAGAGTTTCACTCTTGTTGCCCCAGGCTAGAGTGCAACAACACGATCTTGGCTCACTGCAACCTCTGCCTCCTGGGTTCAAGCAATTTTCCTGCTTCAGGCTCCCAAGTAGCTGGGATTACAGGCACGCACCACCATGCCCGGCTACTTTTTGTATTTTTAGTAGAGAGGGGGTTTCACCATGTTGGTCAGGCTGCTTTCAAACTTGACCTCAGGTAATCCACCTGCCTCGGCCTCCCAAAGTGCTGGGATTACAGACGTGAGCCACCATGACGACCACAGGTTTATTTTAAAATAATCTTGTAATACACCTATGGAAATGTAATTATACAAGCATTGTTACATGACTATTAAACCTAAGTCAGTAGGAAGACACTAAAACCAGAATGAAGACATAAATGGATGTGGGGCCTGAGAGGGACAATGACAGAAAGTGGGCAATGGAGTAGATGGTGGTTCACGTTTTGCTGAAATTATAGTAAATGTGATAACAGACTTGTTTGGTGTTCAGAATTTTTGCCTAAGAGAGAATGATTAGTTCTCCCTTTTTCATAATTCTCTGTCAGGGTTGCAGGTAGGTAGAAAATTTATTTTTTAGCTTAATCATGAGATAAACAGGCAGGCACGTCTTATGTGCCATGGTGGAAGACAGCAGAGGGTGGGATGTGCTAAACACTTTTAAACAATCAGATCTCATAATTACTCACTCATTCACTATAACAAAAATAGCACTGGCTGGGTGTGGTGGCTCACACCTATAATCCCAACACAAGGGAGGCAGATCACCTGAGCTTAGGAGTTCAAGACCAGCCTGGCTAAGAAGGTGAAACCCTGTCTCAACTAAAAATACCAAAAAAATTCGTCCGGCATGGTAGCTCATGCCTGTAGTCCCAGCTACTCTGGAGGATGAAGGAGGAGAATCGCTTGAACCTGGGAGGTGGAGGTTGCAGGGAGCTGAGATCGCACCACTCACTGCACTCCAGCCTGGGTGATAGAGCGAGACTCCACCTCCAAAAAAATAAAAAATAGCACTGAGGGGATGCTGCAAAACCATTCATGAGAAACTGCCCCTATGAGCTAATTACCTCCCACCAGGACGCACCTCCAACGTTAGGGATTACAACTGAATATGGGATTTGGGTGGGGACACAGACCCAAACTGTATCAAATAATTTCCAAAGATCACCCACCCCATTTTTTCTTTTAATTATAAGGCATTACCATCAAAGATGTCCCAAATATTTTCTCCTCTTGGAAAAGTACTGTTAATTTAAAGAGGTGGCTTCACTTACACCATTGCCCAGGTTACCTTTACAGTAGTAGAAATGGGGTCACCGCTCAAACAAGGGCACAGGGTAGGTAGCCACTGGCACGGTGGCCTTTCAGTAGGTAGTTGCTCCCTTATGAGGCATCAGCTCCCATGTGCACCTGCCCTGGTGAGCCCACTGCTGTCGGGCCTAGAGACGGGTCTTAGACCACATTCAATGGCAAAAGCTTTGGACGGCTGCATTCCCATGCCGGTTTCTTTCCCTATGTTTTATTTTGTTTCAGTTGGGATAAAAAAAGAAAGGTGCAGACGCTGCTTTCAGCAGTCAGATAGACTTATTTATTAGGTAAAGACAATGAGCAATATCTACCCTGGAGACTGGAGAATATGATGGAAACGGAAGGTGTGAGCCTAGAGTCCACTGGCAAGAAAAGCCACGTGTATACAGGAACATGCTCAGGGACAAATACGGAGGTGCAATCAGTCCAGCTGTGCTGAGCACAATGATGTAGCATTCAGGGGACCCCGAGGAGAGGCAGCATGTAGGAGAGCCAGATGGGGTGAAAGGTGGCAAGGAGTGGAACTGGAGGCGGTTGAAGCTAACCGAAGGTGTGTGTAAGGGGTTCGGGCATTGGGATGAAGGCTGAGGGGGCATAAGGCTGAGATGGTGGCTGATCAAGTGATGGTGTCACTGAAGAATGATTCCTAGGAATGCCTTTGAAATGCAGAGATCTGTATCAAAAAGAAGAGGGCAACTGGAAACTTGCGGAGTCAACAGACTGAGGGTGGAATGACCTCCAGGCAAGGGAGCAACAGGAGGGTGCGGGGAAAGGAAAGGGACACAGGGACAGCTGTGCAAACAGCTTTTGAGTTTTGTCAGAAATTCGTCTATCACACTTCTGCCTGACCCTTCATCCCTGCTCGTCTGTTCCTCTCTGCTCCCCCTTTTCCACAGCTTAGCACCCATAGAAGTAGGGCCAGTCTCTTCTATCCTCTAGGATATGGCTTAGAAAGTTTGAGACACAGGCTGTAAAAACTCCGTGGGTGGGTGTTCATCATGTTCATCACTTCCCTGCATCAAGTTTCCTCCAAGGTCCTCTGCGGGACTTCAGCCTAACACTGTCCTTCCGATGCACATTTTGAGTTTTCCACTTGCCTAAAGCCCGTTTTTCCACATATCCTTATCCTGGATACCAAGACATTTCAACCACAGCCCCAAGCTAACCTGACGCCATCTCAATCCCTAAACTGTCCTTTGAGTTTGCTCCAAGTAGTTTACTATAGGTTCTATCCTTAAGGGATGAGGAGAACACTGGAAGCACTTTGAGTCATCTACCCCTCCATCCCCCGAATATTGGTACAGAAACAGATTAGGAAGGTGCAATCCTCTTCCTCTATAGCAGCAGCAAGACAACCTTCACAGGATTAATTCACCACCACCCAACAGGAAGAAACAGGCTGGGTGAAGCTGGCAGGGGAAGCTTCAGAAGACTGCGGAGGAGAGGGGTTAGAAGAGCAAAGGAAAACAGATGAGCTGGGATTTTTTTTAAGATGTCCCTTGGCTGGGCTGGGTAGGGATGAGCTTAGAATGCAGAGTGTCTGCATCCCCGGAGGCAGAGTCCTCCCCCATGGGGGACAACGGGATCTCCTTAGAAAGCTCCGGAGCATTAGCAATGACTGTGACCCCTTCAGGCCCATCGGCAACTGGGCAGATGGTCAGGGGCTTTTTACCACAGGACCACAGGCAAAAGAAGGGCCGGAGTGGGCCGGAGAAAGAGACATTGTCGAAAGTGTAGATATGAGAGCCATCATTCATACTGTAGAAGGAGATGTCTCCTGATTCATAGTCCAGGAAAATCCCAACCTGGCGGGGGTGGCCTGCCAATGGCAGAGGGGTCCGGAGAGGGGTGAGGGCCCAGTACCCATTTCCATACAACTCCACAGCCCAGAACCCATTCTCAGGAGTCATGGGGTCGAACCCTTTCTTCATCACGTTCTCCCTGCACACGCCGATGGCCCAGTCAGTCCTGTCTCCCACCTCCACCTCCCAGTAATGCCTTCCTGACGTGAAGGCCTCCCGGCCCAACACACAGGGCCAGGAGTCAAATCTCTCTGGTTTCTCAGGCAATTTCTGATGTGAATCTTCTAGTCGAACAGATTTTGAGTCCTCATAAATGAAGAGGTGGGGATGGGCTGTGTCTGGGTCCAGAGTCACATCAACTGCAGAGAGATCAACAGCAGATCTGACATCAGTGAACGTTACAGATTGCAGGACTATCTTTCCTTTCCCAAGAAACAGAGCACTGTTGTTGGAGTTGATAGGACTCCTGGAGGTAGGGGATGTTTGGTCTGCTCAGGGGTCTACACTGACCAGCAGCCAGAGGGTGATGTAAGGGCTGATTGTGCCTAGAGCCTAAAGGAACCCTGCCGGAAGGGGATTTCTCCTGGCCATCTTCTGAGGGTTCTCTACGTGACTCACAGAAACTGTTGAGGCCACTCGTCATCACCGTTTCCCTTCCTGTCCTCATCACTAAACTGTGTTAGTGATACACTGGCAAGTATCATAGCACTTTGAATTCCTAGGAGATAGAGCCCCAGAAGTTCAGAGCCACTGACCTGCATGCAACGTAGCCTTTTTCCATTCTGCAACAAAAGAGAAAGATAGTCACTGACAGGCTATGTAATAAGAGAGAAAAAGCTCTGTGGGTGAAATAACGACAAGAAGACAGAACTTACTGAGTTCTTCCAAGAGTTTCTCTGAAAAACAAACAAAAATGTCTCAGTGGTTTTCCACAGTAGACACAAAGGAGGGGACAAAACTTGCGTGCGAAACACACAAAGGAGGACCTGTTTGATTCATATTGAAACACTGCCAATAAATCAAGAACAGGGATTTTGTTTTGCTTTGTTTTCAAAGAATGATGCAGGAAGTTCCTACATGCTGGAACTGGCTTGGGATCAGATCTTTTTTTTCTTTTTTTCTTTTTTTGAGATGGAATCTCTCTCTGTCGCCCAGTCTGGATGGAGTGCAGTGGTGCAATCTTGGCTCACTGTAACCTCTGCCTCCCAGATTCAAGCAATTCCCCTGCCTCAGCCTCCTGAGTAGATGGACTACAGGTGCGCATCACCACCCTGGCTAATTTTTTAATATTTTTAGTAGAGACGGGGATTCACCATGTTGTCCAGTCTAATCTTGAACTCCTGACCTCATGTGATCCACCTACCTTGGCCTCCCAAAGTGCTGGGATTACAGGCATAAGCCACTGTGCCCAGCTTCACATCTTTAATAATAAGATTGGTAGCAGGGCGTGGTGGCTCACACCTGTAATCCCAGCACTTTGGGAGACCGAGGTGGGCAGACCACAAAGTTAGGAGTTGGGAGACCAGCCTGGCCAACATAGTGAAACTCCATCTCTACCAAAAATACAAAACATTAGCCGGGCGAGGTGGTGGGCGCCTGTAATCCCAGCTACGTGGGAGGCTGAGGTAGGAGAATCGCTTGATCCTGGGAGGTGGAGGTTGCAGTGAGCTGAGATGGCGCCACTGCACTCCAGCCAGGTGACAGTATGAAACTCAGTCTCAAAAACATAAATAAATAAAAAATAAGATTGGTGCTGGGTAACTGAGGTAAAAGTCGGAGTAGGGTCTGAGGGTGGGTAGTGAGTAAACAACAGGTCAGATATCTTGATTAGACTCTGCCTATGCCCTCTGTGCTTCTTCATACTGGATATCTGTGACTTCAGGAGCCTTATGATTCCTTCTAATTTTCAGATTTCTAGAATCAAGTATCTTCTTTTTTATCTTTCACCCAGGCTAGAGCGCAATGGTGCAATCTTGGTTCACTGCAACCTCCACCTCCCGGATTCAAGTGATTCTCCTGCTCAACCTCCCAAGTAGCTGGGATTACAGGCACCCACTACCATGCTCTGCTAATTTTTGTATTTTTAGTAGAGATGGGGTTTCACCATGTTGGCCAGACTGATTTCGAACTCCTGACCTCAGGTGATCCACTCACCTTGGCCTCCCAAAGTGCTGGGATTACAGGCTTGAGCCACCACGCCCAGCCTCGAGTATCTTCCTGTCATCCTAAAGGACTTGGGTCCAGCCTGCCTCTGAAGCACTTCTGACATGCAGTCCTTGTAGATACTATGATTTACCTTTAGAGCTGAATTCATTCTTCTCTCTGGATCTTTCCTTGTATAGTCTCCAAGTGAAAAATATGGACCCAATGGTGAGAAGTCCCAGAACCATCAGGATGACAGCCACAGCTGCTATCCAGGGAGTTAGCTTTGGGAGAGAGGAAGCTAAAACAAAATCCCCAAGAAGGACATTAGTTGAGAAACTCTGAGCAAGTCCACCTTCTCTCCAGATTCCAAAGGAGGGCAGAAGAGGTGATAGCCTGGACCCCTCTCATCCCTTGTAGAGCAAAAAATAGTCACTCCTGTGTCACTCTAAACTTTTCAGGAAAAAAATGACTTTGAGCTGGAGATGCCAGAGAAAGAGAGAAATGAAGAGTCATTTTGGGACAGGACCTGTGAAATAATAAATATAATGGACCAATTTATGTCATTATGGAAATTCCTCCTTAACTATCAGTGCAGAATGGGAACCAAGAGGTTGAAGGAGTTAAATAAAGGAGAGTTGTGCCTCTGTATGTAACAGAATGGGACTCACTGACCAAAGAATAAGGAAAGCTTCCTGCCTAAACCAGAGACAGTATCTGGGGAATAATGAGAGGATTTGCCACCCTGAGGACCCTGGAAACCTAGACAGAGCTCTAGCATGGGATGGGAGGGAGAAGTGGTTATAGGTGGAAATGGCAAAAGTAGAAAAATAACTTAGTCTTTTTGTTTATTTGAGGAGAGAAGGCTCTGGATCAGGAAAGCCTCCAGCGACAAAGCTTCTCTTCTCACTGAGATCTCCTAAAATGGAAAATCTGGAATTTGGCTGGGCTTGTAATCCCAGCACTTTGGGAAGCTGAGGCAGGCAGATTGCTTGAGTCCAGATTGCTCAAGACCAGCCTGAGGGACCTGGTGAAACCCCGTCTTTGGTAAAAATACAAAAAATTAGCTGGGCATGGTGATGTACATCTATAGTCCCGGCTACTCTGGAGGCTGAGGCAGGAGAATCGTTTGAACCTGAGAAGCGGAAGTTGCTATGAGCTGAGATCATTCTGCCGCTACACTCCAGCTTGGGCAACATAGCAAGACTCTGTCTAAAAAATAAATAAATAAATAATCTGAAATGTGAGATCCCAGTAGGTTCGTATCTTCAGAATTTTTATTTTAAAAAATATATATATATTTTTTTGAGACGGAGTTTCGCTCTTGTTAGCCAGGCTGGAGTGCAATGGCGCGATCTCGGCTCACCGCAACCTCCGCCTCCTGGGTTCAGGCAATTCTCCTGCCTCAGCCTCCTGAGTAGCTGGGATTACAGGCACGCGCCACCATGCCCAGCTAATTTTTTGTATTTTTTAGTAGAGACGGGGTTTCACCATGTTGACCAGGATGGTCTCGATCTCTCGACCTCGTGATCCACCCGCCTCAGCCTCCCAAAGTGCTGGGATTACAAGCTTGAGCCACCGCGCCCAGCCAAAAAAAAATTTTTTTAAAGACAGGGTTTCACCATGTTGGTCAGGCTGGTCTTGAACTCCCGACCTCAGGTGATCCACCCGCCTTGGCCTCCAAACTGCTTGGATTACAGACATGAGGCACCACGCCCAGCCATTTTTTTTGAGATGGTGTCTCGCTCTGTCGCCCAGGCTGGAGTGCAGTGGTTCCATTTTGGCTCACTGCAACCTCCACCTTCAGGTTCAAGCAATTCTCCCGCCTTAGCCTTCCAAGTAGCTGGGATTACAGGTGCCCACTACCACGCCTGGCTGATTTTTGTATTTTCAGTAGAGACGGGATTTCACCATGTTGGTCAGGCTGGTTTCAAACTCCTGACCTCGTGATCTGCCTGCCTTGGCCTCCCGAAGTGCTGGGATTACAGGCATGAGCCGCCATGCCCGGCCTAAGAAATTCTAATAAAGTTGGTGGGGCTCCCTCAAGTCAGTGGACAAGATCGTAGGTGGGGAAAGCAGACAACTCTGCCATGAGGTCGCATCTGGGCAGGTGTCCCAGGTGGTGTGGCTCTGAAGCTGTGTCAACATAGGAGTTCAGCATTGGTTTCACTAACCTGGTATGGATATCTCTACTTCCTTCTCCTGGCCGAGAAGGAGATTCTGGATGCAGCAGGACACATTTTTCACAGAAGTGTCTCTGATGATCACCGAAGCAGCCACAGTGAACAAACCTTCTTCATCAGGATTCCTGGACTCTGATGTAGATGGAAACTTCTCTCCCTTGGAATTTCTCCACTGCACCTGGGGCTCTGGGTACCATCCCACCGAGGTGCACTCCAGCTGGATTTCTCCATTCTCTTGAACTTGCATAGTGATGTGAGGGTCAGAGCCCACAGCTATGGAGAAAGAATCTGAACTTAATGTTTTAGTGGATACCTGTTGGGAGCCTTATAACTGTAGAGATACACAGTTTGAGAAAGAGAGAGAGAGAGAAAGGCACAAGTGGACTGGTAGTGGGAGGAACTAATCTCCACATTTCTTTTTTTTTTTTTTTTTTTTTTTTTTTTTTTTTTGAGACGGAGTTTCGCTCTTGTTACCCAGGCTGGAGTGCAATGGCACAATCTCGGCTCACCGCAACCTCCGCCTCCTGGGTTCAGGCAATTCTCCTGCCTCAGCCTCCTGAGTAGCTGGGATTACAGGTACGTGCCACCATGCCCAGCTAATTTTTTTGTATTTTTAGTAGAGACGGGGTTTCACCATGTTGACCAGGATGGTCTCGATCTCTCGACCTTGTGATCCACCCGCCTCGGCCTCCCAAAGTGCCGGGATTACAGGCTTGAGCCACCGCGCCCGGCCTAATCTCCACATTTCAATACACAAGGAAACTGAGGACCAGGCACAGTGGTTTATGCCTGCAATGTCAGCACTTTGGGAGGCCAAGGCAGGATTGCTTGAGTCCAAGAAGATCCAGACCAGCCTGGGCAACCTAACGAGACCCCAACTCCTCCGGCATGGTGGTTCATGCCTGTATTCCTAGCTACCTGGAAGGCTGAGGCAGGAGGACTGCTTGAGTTCAGCAGTTCAAGGGTGTGGTGACCTGTGATGGCAACACTGTACTCCAGCCTGGGTGACAGAGTCAGATGCTGTTTTTATAAAAAAATTTTTTTAAGGAAATGGAAGTACCAATAAAAGGAATTTCATATACCTTATCAGAAAGGGATGCCTTGTTGGGATCAAGCCTTTGAAATGTTTGAAACAGTTTGGTGGGCAGACATGAGGGTGCTTGTCCAGGCAGCAAGAACACTAAGAGCAGTAACTCAGAGGCTGGTTAGTGGTCTAGGCTGAGAGTCCCAGAGCTGGCCGATAGCTCTGTGGTTGAAAGCACTATGAGAAAGCTTTGGTGGGGAGGAGGAGAACTAAGACTGGGTATTAAAGGATGAACAGAGGATTATCCTTGAGGATTGGAAGTTCTTTGCCCTGAGATTATAGTTGACAATTTAAGCTTCCTTTTTTTTTTTTTTTTTTCGAGACAGGGTTTCACCATGTTGGCCAGACTGGTCTCAAACTTCTGACCTCAGGTGATCCGCCTGCCTCAGCCTCCCAAAGTGCTGGGATTACAGGCGTGAGCCACCGCACCCACTCACTTGAGACCACTTAAGTGAATCAGAAATTCTCTTAAGTGGTCTCAACTTCATCTTTTTTCACAAAACTGTGGTCTAATGTGAGTAAACATACTGTTTTTCCTGTATGTTCAGCCTACTTTTTTCTCTAATTCCACATGGTACACAAAAACACTGAGCTGACTAGAAGAGTTCTTAAGGACATTTCCACAACCACGGGTTGAAATCCATAGTCCAAGAATGTATGTATATATATGAGAATGTATATTCTTTTCATGGAAGGAGTTGCCACTTGCAGGAGATTCTCAGCGGTGTCTGTCACTCATAAAAGGTGACAAATTTTATGCCATCAAATCTCCAGGTTTTTACCTTTAAGATAACTTCTCCCCTAAAGAGAAAATGTCGAAATTTGAATTGTACATGATGCTGTAACAGCAGGGACCCTATTGTGAAGCAGAGGGACCCACATTTCATCCAAGTATCTTTCAAAGTTCATGTTTACCTGAATATATACCTATGTATATCGATATTATATAAAATATGTATATATGATGTATTTATATGAGAAAGGCAATTTGTTCGTATATTATATGTTTTAGATCAGTTTAAGGCACAGTATAGTATCTAATAAGTCTATAATGTGTTTTTATTTTGACACCGAGCCTTACTCTGTTGACAGGCTGTAGTGCAGTGGTGCGATCTCAGCTTACTGCAACCTCTGCCTCCCGGATTCAAGTGATTATCCTGCCTCAGTCTGCAGAGTAGCTGGGACTACAGGCATGTGCCACCACATCCAGCTAATTTTTGTATTTTTACTGGAGACGGGGTTTCCCCATGTTGGCCAAGATGGTCTTTATCTCCTGACCTCGTGATCCACCTGCCTTGGCCTCCCAAAGTGTTGGGATTACAGGTTTGAGCCACTGCACTCAGCCTCTATAATGTTTTTAAAATTGGCAAGGTTATTTCTCATGTGTTGTCTAATTTTATTTTATTCTTTTTTTTTTTTTTTTTTTTGAGACGAGTCTCACTCTGTTGGAGTGCAGTGGCACAATCTCGGCTCACTGCAACTTCCACCTCCCAGGTTCAAGAGATTTTCTCTGAGTAGCTGGGATTACAGGCATGACCCAGCTAAGTTTTTAATAGAGATCGGGTTTTGCCATGTTGGCCAGTCTTGAATATCCCGATCTCAAGTGATCCACTCCAAAATGCTAGGATTACACGTGTGAGCCACCACACCCCACCTTTATTTTTTGTTTTGAAGACAGAGTTTCGCTCTATTGTCCCGGCTGGAGTGCAGTGGCAGCCATCAGCTCACTGTAACCTTGAACTTCTTGGCTCAGGAACTTCTGCCTCTGCTTCCCAAAGCGCTTGGATTATAGGAGCAAGCCACTGCTCCCAGCCTATTTTATTCTTGAAAAATCATCTTAGATAAAAACTTCCTCAGTTTTTTTTTTTTTTTTGAAACGGAGTTTTGCTCTTGTTACCCAGGTTGGAATGCAATGGCGCGATCTCGCCTCACCGCAACCTCCGCCTCCTGGGTTCAGGCAATTCTCCTGCCTCAGCCTCCTGAGTAGCTGGGATTACAGGCACGTGCCACCATGCCCAGCTAATTTTTTGTATTTTTAATAGAGACGGGGTTTCACCATGTTGACCAGGATGGTCTCGATCTCTCAACCTCATGATCCACCTGCCTCGGCCTCCCAAAGTGCTGGGATTACAGGCTTGAGCCACCGCGCCCGGCCACTTCCTCAGTTTTACAGTAAAACTCAGAACTCATTTGCTTGATGTCATTCACTAGGAAGTGAGAAAGTCAGACCTAAACGCATATTTTTCTCCTAAAAGCGTATTATTTTCAATCCCTTTGAATTCTGGCTTAAAACAAAAACGAAAACAAGAGCAGAATCTTTTCTGTATGAATCAGGAATGTGACAAAGGACCATGCTCTCTAAACTTAGGATGTCAGTCCTTAGAAACTAATCCATGAAGCAGCCTTAAAGTGTGTGGTATGCTCACCAGAGCCATCAAGTGTGTAGTGGTGAAAAATACGATTTTGCCGGGCATGGTGGCTCATGCCTGTGATCCCAGTACTTTGGGAGGCAGAGGCAGGCAGATCACCTGAGGTCTGGAGTTCGAGACTAGCCTGACCAACATGGAGAACATCCGTCTCTACTAAAAATACAAAATTAGCTGGGCATGGTGGTGCATGCCTGTAATCCCAGCTACTTGGGAGGCTGAGACAGGAAAATTGCTTGAACCTGGGAGGCAGAGGTTGAGGTGAGCCGAGATTGTCCCATTGCACTCCAGCCTCGGCAACAAGAACAAAACTTCATCTCAAAAAAAGGAAAAAAAAAAAGAAAAAAGAAAAGTACTCACAATTTAAATGTACAATTCTGGGACTCGATGAAGTAAATTATGGCGTACGGGTATAAAAAGCATGTTACATAGCTTTTCCATGTATTATTTCATGAGGAAATGCCTACCCTATTATAGAAAAAGGGTTGGAGATAATTGAAATAAAGTTCTACATAAAGACATTGCACTGCTCTCTCCATGTTCCACTCAAAACCCTTTCCCAGTGATCTCCTACCGTAGGCCCTCAGTACTTTGTAGCTGTGGAGTCCTAATCAGGAGAAAGCAAAGAGGTGAGGCAGATAAGCTACAAGTCGTCCTTTTTCTTCACGGTCCAGGACACAGTCCTTCCGTGCAGATAACTCACAGTCTCCCTTGCTGGGTCCAGCTACCACCAAACACCTGCAAGTTAGCTCACGGCCACTTTTGCCTTACAGGCACTGCACAAAGCCCTCTTCTACGGACAGCATAAAAACCATTCTATATTCTCCAGCCAGCCTTTGTTTTCTGGCAGTCAGCTTCTCTTTTGCTGATCCTGCCCTTCGCCTCTTCGCGAAGTAGTTTCATACTTTTAAAAGTAAATCTGTCTTTTTTTAATCTATCTTGGTAAATTCTTTCTCCCACCGCGCCTCCGGCCCAGATAGTTGTCCCTCCCCAGCGACACCAACCTGAAAGAGGTGTTGAGAATGAGTCTGATGGTTTCCAAAGTAACTGATCTACACAAAAGTATACACAGCAGGCGAGTCGCGACCCGTCTACTCACCAGCCACCTGCAGACGCACCAGGGCTTCTTGGTAGCTTCCGTCCTCCCTGAAAAAGCATGTGTATTCCCCGTCGTCGGAGACCCTGACGCTGCGGATCCGCAAGGCCACGCGCCCCTCGGCGAGGCCGTCCTGCACCAGCGCGGCGCGCCCACGGTACTCAGGCATCTGCTCGGCCTCCTGCTCACGCCCGTCCCTGTACACCAGCACGGCCGGCGACACCGTCCTCCGGAACCAGCGCACCTCCAGGGACTCGGCGCTCGCGTTCGGGGACAGGCGGCAGGGCAGCTCGGCGTCCTCACCCACCGCGGCCAGGATGGGCTCTGGGGGTCCAATCACGTCAAAGGGAACTGCCGAAAAAACGAGCGGGGTCAGCCAGGACGTGCAGGTGGGAGCTGCGGACAAACACGGGCCAGGTTCCCGCCAAAGCGCAGTGCCCTGCGCTCTCTCACTCCTTTGACAGCTGAGGTTGTCTGGATCCAGTGGAGGCCTCCAGGGAGAGCCGAGTGAGACTGTTTATTTTACATTTATAGAGATGTATCCATTATGCAGGTCAGAGAGAGAGAGAGACCTACCTGAATCCAGCTGGGGCAGCTGGAGGAGAATGAGGGTGAGCAGACATCTGGGGAAGCCGCAGTTTGGGAAACCTGCCATCTCCGATCTTTCTGGGGCAGCAAGATAACTGGTGTGAGCCCCTCGGGAGCTTCAGCCTAGGAGACAAATGCACAGGAGGCAACTATTGGCTCTGGCAACGTTCTGCTTTCCAAAGTCCTCTTGCGGTGCTTTCCAGCAGGGAGCGTTCTGGTCATCTGCACCTGAAACCTCCTCTCAGCCTCCTTCCCTAGTGTGGATTTTCAGTCGACACTGCGGTCATCACCTTTCCACCCACCACCCTAACTCCAACACCTTAGGAGAAGGTTGCTGTGAGGCGTCACACTCATTAGTTGGCTGCATATAAGATGAACAAATCTTGAAATCACTGCGCTAAAAAAAAGTCTTCTTTCAAATACAAGAATCTGGTATTTGCTTTTGGCAATGATAATAAAGGTAAGGGGAAAGAGGAGAAATGGAGTCCAAGGAAATGAATTGGAGAAGGAGAAAACGTGGGAAGAGGTGGATCAAGAAGAAGGAGCGGAATCAAGCAAAAGGGATTGAAGACTAGCGGGCCTAGGACAAGGGAAAGGAGCTGGAGGGAGAGAACTGTGTTCTGCCCTCCTGGCTGCTCGCTTGCTCAGGGAGCTGAGAGTAACCACACATACTGACCTGGGTGATCTGGGAGAAAAAGGCTCAAGAGGCCACTGCTACCAAGTGAGAAAGCTGGTTGTGGCCCCAGGGGCAAAAGTTAAAAGGAAAAGGAAGAGGGAAGTGCTCTCAGGAAAGCCTGGTATCTTCACTTTAAGAAAGAAATGTTTTTTTTTTTTTTTTTTTTTTTTTTTTGAGACGGAGTTTCGCTCTTGTTACCCAGGCCGGAGTGCAATGGCGCGATCTCGGCTCACCGCAACCTCCGCCTCCTGGGTTCAGGCAATTCTCCTGCCTCAGCCTCCTGAGTAGCTGGGATTACAGGCACGCGCCACCATGCCCAGCTAATTTTTTGTATTTTTAGTAGAGACAGGGTTTCGCCATGTTGACCGGGATGGTCTCGATCTCTTGACCTTGTGATCCACCCGCCTCGGCCTCCCAAAGTGCTGGGATTACAGGCTTGAGCCACCGCGCCCGGCCTAAGAAAAGGTTTTCAGAGAGAGGCGAACCTGGGTTTGCGGTCTTCAGCTCAGAAATCAATGAGCTGGACTAAATGAAAGGGGAAGAAGAGAAAGAAAGAAGAGAGGCAAGAAAACACACAAATGAAATGTGAGAGCTTCAGCCAGTTATTTTCTCTCCCCAAGCCTCAGTTCTCTGATCTCTAAAGCGGTAATATATATTGATCATGCCTTCGTTGGGTGACTTAAATGAGATTAAGCAGGTAAAGTGCTTAGCCCATAGTAGGAACTCAGCAGATGATAAACTGTTATTATCGTTTCTGTGGGTTGAAAAATGAAAGCCCAGGGGCCAAGGTAGCAGTAGCCTCTGGCTATAGCTCTTTTCGTTATTGGGGCATCCACTGAAAGTGCTGTGTCTGTTGGCACAATTCCATTAAATGCCAGTCTTAAGGGTAGGCTGTGAATGGGGTAGCTGATGAAGTGTAATTCTGTTTACAGGGCCCCAAAGTTGCCTCCCTGACAGTTATTTCTCTTGAGGCAACTCATCATGAGGCCTACTATTCCTTATTTTATACTAAACCTACCTCTCATTGTTATGAAAACATTAAAAAATATAGAAAAATATTTTTATTAAATGGAAGTCACACTAATCTACAAACTAATGATAGCCTCAATTCACATTTTGCCGTATTTCCTTCCAAGATTTATTTTATGCTTATGTATGTCATAAAAATAATTAATTAGACTTTTTGTGTAGCGCAAAACATTGCTAATAGTTATATAATTGCCATGGTTGTGGGACATTTGAATTTTATTTTTAAAAATTTTATTTATTTATTTATTTTGAGACGAAGTCTTGCTCTGTCACCAGGCTGGAGTGCAGTGATGCGATCTCGGCTCACTGCAACCTCTGCCTCCTGGGTTCAAGTGATTCTCCTGCCTCAGCCTCCTGAGTAGCTGGGACTACAGGCGCACACCACCACGCCCAACTAATTTTTGTATTTTTTAGTAGAGATGGGGGTTTCACCATTTTGGCCAGGATGGTCTGGATCTTGTGACCCCCTGATCTGCCAGCCTTGGCCTCCCAAAGTGCTGGGATTACAAGTGTAAGCCACTGCACCCTGCTTTTTTTCCTATTATAAATAATACACTTTATATATGTCTTTATTTACAAGTTGGAAAAACTGTTTGATAATTTTTCAGAAATAGAGTCATCAGATCAAATGATGAGCATATTCCTTTTTTTTTTTTTTTTTTTTGAGAGTCTCAGTCTGTTGCCCAGGCTGGAGTGCAGCGGCAAGATCTTGGCTCACTGCAACCTCCGCCTCCTGGCTTCAAGGGATTCTCCTCCTAACTCAGCCTCCTTAGTAGCTGGGACTACAGGCATGCCACCATGCCCAGCTAATTTTTGTATTTTAGTGGAAATAGCGTTTCATCATGTTGGCCAGGCTGGTCTCAAACCTCTGATCTCAAGTGATCTGCCTGCCTTTGCCTCCCAAATTGCTGAGATTACAGGCATGAGCCACTGTGTCTGGCCTGGTATGAGCATATTTCTAAAGTCCCTTCCTGAAACGTTGAACCCATCACACCTTCAATGGCTCACACCTGTAATCCCAGCACTTTGGGAGGCCAAGGTGGGCGGATAACAAGATCAAGAGTTCAAGACTATCTTGGCCAGCATGGTGAAACCCCGTCTCTACTAAAAATTAAAAAATGAGCTAAGCATGGTGGCACTCGCCTGTAGTCCCAGCTACTGGGAAGGCTGAGGCAGGAGAATTGTTTGAACCTGGGAGAGGGAGGTTGCAGTGAGCTGAGATTGTGCCACTGCACTCCAGCCTGACAACAGAGCGAGACAAAAAAGAAAAAAAAAAAAGTGCCCTCACCTAATCCCTGTTAGCAATGAGAGTTGTCATTTCACATCTTTACAATTGGGATGGGTCAAGTTAGTCAAATTATTTTCTTATGCCTTCATGTGATAGTGAGCCTGGATATTTTTTATGTGTTAATTTGACATTTAATATTTAATACATTCTAGATATCAGCTTTTCAGGCCAGTTGCCCATTGTTTTCAAGACTGGTACTGATGCTAGTTCTTAGCAATCTGTATAAACTTTTTTTTTTTTTTTTTGAGACGGAGTTTCGCTCGTTACCCAGGCTGGAGTGCAATGGTGCGATCTCGGCTCACCGCAACCTCCGCCTCCTGGGTTCAGGCAATTCTCCTGCCTCAGCCTCCTGAGTAGCTGGGATTACAGGCACGCGCCACCACGCCCAGCTAGTTTTTTGTATTTTTAGTAGAGACGGGGTTTCACCATGTTGACCAGGATGGTCTTGATCTCTCGACCTTGTGATCCACCCGCCTCGGCCTCCCAAAGTGCTGGGATTACAGGCTTGAGCCACCGCGCCTGGCCCCGTATAAACTTTTAACAACTGAAAAATACTAATCCTGGGCCAGGCATGATGGCACACACCTGTAATCCCAGCACTTTGGGAGGCAGAAGAGAGTGGATCACAAGGTCAGGAGAAGGAGACCATTCTGGCTAACACAGTGAAACCCCATCTTTACTAAAAATAAAAAAATTAGCTGGGCTTGGTAGCGCATGCCTGTTATCCCAGCTACTCGGGAGGCTGAGGCAGGAGAATCTCTTCAACCCGGGAAGGGGAGGTTACAGTGAACCAAGATTGCTCCACTGCACTGCAGCCGGGGTGACGGAGCAAGACCAAGACTCCATCACACACACAGACACACACACACACACACACCCTGTATTATATTTGTAACAAACATTCTTCCCAGTTTTGTTATTTATCTTTGAGTTGGAATTATTATTAAGACAAAACACAATTACTCCAGTTTACCCACCAGACAGCCAGGAGAATGACCTTTCCCAAATGCAAATCTGATTATACTGCTTTTTGCTTAAAAATCCTTCAAGGCTGGCCGGGCACGGTGGCTCAAGCCTGTAATCCCAGCACTTTGGGAGGCCGAGGCGGGTGGATCACAAGGTCAAGAGATTGAAACCATCCTGGTCAACATGGTGAAACACCGTCTCTACTAAAAATACAAAAAATTAGCTGGGCATGGTGGTGTGTGCCTGTAATCCCAGCTACTCAGGAGGCTGAGGCAGGAGAATTGCCTGAACCCAGGAGGTGGAGGTGGCGGTGAGCCGAGATCGCGCCATTGCACTCCAGCCTGGGTAACAAGAGCAAAACTCTGTCTCAAAAAAAAAAAAATCCTTCAAGGTCTCCCTAGTGACTTCAGCATCCAATTTAGGCACCTTAATCTGGTTACGAGTATGCTATAGGTCTAGCTTGATCTGGTCAAGAAAATACTCTGGCAGTCTCCCTGCCTCCTTCCATGGGCCTTTTCTCCCTTCCTTTTCTCCTTCCCTGCCTGCCCACCCACAGGCTGATCTGGAATGGGTGTGGTTACCTCCACCCACAATGCCTCTCAGGCCTCCAGATAGCAGAGCTTGTCTTCCCTCTTCCAGAATATTCTGTGCCCTCTTTTTTTTTTTTTTTTTTGAGATGGAGTCTCCCTCTGTTGCCCAGGCATGATCTTGGCTCACTGCAACCTCTGACTCGCAGGTTCAAGTGTTTCTTCTGCCTCAGCCTCCCGAGTAGCTGGGACTACAGGCATGCCCCACCACACCTGGCTAATTTTTGTATTTCTGATAGAGGTGGGGTTTCTCCATGTTGGCCAGGCTGGTCTTGAACTCCTGACCTCAAGTGATCCACTGGCCTTGGCCTCCCAAATTGCTGGGATTACAGGCATGTGCCACTGCGCCCGGCCTGTTCCCTCTTACCTTTATGATGAACTCCTATTCTTCCCTGAAAAGCTTGTGTAAGGGCTGCACCTTCTGCAGTGTCTTCCAGACACGGCATCAAGCAGATACAACCTCACTTCTAGGGCTTCTTCTGAACAGCCTTTTTCCCCTCCAAGGGAAGTAGACTTTCCTGGAAGATGGGCCAGGTGTATCCTGTGACACTTGGTCCCTTTCTCATGGCAC